CTTATTATTTACTTTTAGACCGTTGCTTTCTAAATTAAATATACTTGATATTTTTGACACGTTAAATTAGAAATACATTTATATAAACTGAATAATAATATAAATACGTACATAAAAAAATTAATAAAATTGCGTGGTGAATATTTTTTTGTTTATATTCATTTGTTTTTTTGTTTACATAGAGGTTAGTGTCCAAAACATTTATTAATCGTCGAAATTAAAGAAAAAATTCAAATAAATTAATTTTATTAGCAACTACACGATTCGCATATATCACTTTTATTAATTTCGTTTTCTTTTAGCTCCTCATTTGTAGCTTCATTTTTTTCGACTTTTTTAAGCATATCAAGATCTACTGTAAACTTTATTGCTGATGTAATAGGTCTTGTTCGCAAGTAATACATTCCAGTTTTCAATCCTCGTTTCCATCCATAAAAATGCATACTTGATAATATCGGGTATGTAGGCTTTGCAACAAATAAATTTAGAGATTGAGTTTGATCGACAAATGCCTGCCTGTCTGCTGCCAAATCGATAACACATTTCATTTTAATTTCCCAAACTGTTTTATATAACTCTTTAATTTCCTCTGGAATACCACTTATGTTTTGTATTGATCCTTCTTGTTCAACAATATAATTTTTTATTTCAGGAGACCACATGTTAAGCTTTATTAAATCATTCATAAGATACCTATTTACCATTTGAAATTCTCCACAAGCTGTTCTTCTAGTGTATATATTAGAAGTAAATGGTTCAAATGCTTCATTATTATTAAAAATTTGTGATGTGCCTGCTGTAGGCATAGGTGCAATTAATAAAGAATTTCTAACACCATATTTTAAAATTTTTTTTCGTAACTCTTCCCAATTCCATCTACCGGTAGTAGAAGAATTTGCCATTTCCCAGTGGAAAATGCCTTTACTAATTGGTGATCCGTTATAAGATTCATACGGCCCGTATTTCTCAGCCTCCTCACAAGAAGATTCCAAAGCACCAAAATATAGTGTTTCAAATATTTCTTTGTTAAGTTTTCGTGCCCCTTCGCTTTCATAAGGTAATCTAAGCATTAAAAAAACATCGGCTAGTCCTTGAACACCCAGACCTATAGGCCTATGTTTTTTGTTACTTTTCTCTGCTTCTTTAAGAGGATAAAAGTTACAATCAATAACTATATTAGCATTTTTAGTTACTATTTTTACAACTGATTTAAATAAATTAAAGTCAAATTCTCCATTAATTACAAATTTCGGTAAACATATACTAGCCAAGTTGCATACTGCTACTTCATCTGGACTGGTGTATTGTACAATTTCTGTACAGAGGTTAGAACATCTAATTGTACCAATATTCTTTTGATTACTTAAATTATTTATAGTATCTTTATACAACATGTAGGGTGTACCAGTTTCAATTTGTGACTCAATAATAGCCTTCCAGACCTTTTGTGCAGGAACAACAACGCAATCAACTTTTTTTTCATACTCAAGATACATATCCTCAAATTCTTTACCGTAAGCATTTGAAAGTCCAGGTACAGATTTTGGACAAAATAATGACCAATCCTCGTTAGCCTCAACCCTTTTCATAAATAAATCATTAATCCACATGCCAGTAAATACATCTCTGGCTCTTAATTCATCTTTTCCAATACTTTTTCTTAAATCTAAAAAATCAAAGATGTCTTTGTGCCAGGGCTCTAAATAAATAGCAGGGCAACCCGATCTTCTACTTCCTGCTTGACCAATATATTTAAGAGACCAATTTAATACTTGTATATAAGGAATAATACCTTTTGATATACCTCCTGTTTTTCTAATACTTGTTCCTTTAGCAGCCATGTCGTGTAGGTCTAAAGCTACTCCTCCACCCGACTTTGAAATTTGAACACATCTTTTAACTGTTTCAAACAGTCCTTCAACTGTTTCTTCGATGGGTGTTAAAAGAAAGCAACTAGCAAGTTGTGACTTTTTGCTACCAGAATTAAAGATGGTAGGCGATCCGTGCGTATACATGTTATTAGATAACAGTTCATAAGTTTCTTTAACATTCTCAAGATTATCACCATGTAGTTGTACAGCAACTCTTAACAACATATCTTGCGGTCTTTCAATTGTCTGACCGTCAAGAGTTAACAGATATGCTCTTTTAAGCGTAAGAATTGCAAAATAGGTCCATGAATCATCTTTAGAATAATCAACAAGTTCATCTAAGAATTTTTTATTATCTAAAACAATATTGTAAAATTTTTCTGAGTAAAAATCTCCATTTTTGTAAATGTAGTCAACTTTAGCAAAAAAAGAATCTAACGTATTTTCTTTTAAATATTCCATTAATATCTTAGCAGAAAATCTACCATAATCATAATGTTTCGTAGTCATTGAGTCGGCAGTCTCGGCAGCAAACGAAATAAATTCTTCTACTGTTATATCATCACATAATCCAGATTCAATTTTTAAAAAATATTCATCAATGGCTATAAAACGAGAGTCTAAGTCAGAAATATATTTCTTAAACTTATTTTTGAACTGTTGATAAATACAAGGTGTAAGTTTATCAGTAGATTTGCTTATCTTATGAATATTGAATTGCATTAAGGGGTAAAATTTGGACTTTTTATTCGCAATAGTAAAAAATAAAGTGCTTGACATAAATTTAAAGGTAATGATGATATTTGCACATCTATGTGATCACTATTATATAACATTACAATAATAAATAAATGTTTATATGTAGTTAAAAAAGTTAAATTGGTTTTTTTATAGCCTTAAAGTTATTTATTTTTTAAAAATTCAATAGTGTCTAGTGTTTTTAATAAAAAAAATTGAAATGTTTGACACGGATGCGGAGTTTTCTTATCATTCTTTTTTTTCTTATAAAGTTTTTTTAATATAACTTATTCAATATATCAAAAAATATGAATTTAAAGAACTTTGATATATTTGTAATCTTACAAAGGTTTTATTAAAATATATTACAGAAATATATAATTACTGTAAATAAATAATGATGATTAAATTAAATGTTTTTTGCCTTGATTTCTAACAAATGTATTTTATTGATTATTGTAATTAAAACAACTAATATAAATTTTCAATAACCTTATAGCCTTATAAAATAAAATAATAAAAAAACTTACTAGCTTGGCATTTAAATTAAAAAACATTTCTTAATATATATTTGATAAATTCTTATAAATTAAAATCAAAGTAAACATATTATAGAATATGTAAATTATTATTAATTACATTTAAAATACATGATAATTTTAAATTTACTTTTATAATCTAAGTTACACTACAAATGAAATAAATAATAAAATAGGTATCTTTTCAAAAAAAGGGCCCAGCAGGAATTGAACCTGCGACCTACCGCTCTGCAGGCGAATGTTCTACCACTGAACTATGGACCCTGAAATCGAGCGAGGTGTAATATTGTAAAAGCGAGCAGTTGGATGTCAAAAAGAAAAATAGTTAGAGTTCAAATTGCTAAAAACTTCTACATCAAATTTCATAAATGTAATGTTTTCCTTAAGTTGATAAATTTTATAAACAATATAAAAATGAATAATTGAGTCATTTTAATAAATCTATGTGTTGTTTGTTAAAGAGATTTTTGACATTTAGAAAAAAATAATTATAAATCATTAAACCCGTGTTTTGTTTCGTAACAATGATCTAATATTTTACTGGCCTTTAAGTAAAAATTTTTTTGGTAGAAAAGTATAATTAAAAATATAATTGATTACAAGTTTTAAAAATAATGTTCTTTTATTCTATTTATTTTGATTGTAAAAGTAAATTTTTAGCTTACATGCATTTATAACTATTTTGTAATTGATAGTATTAAGTTTCAAATATTCTAAACACTAATTACAAAAGACAAATGATGTTTTATCTAATTGAAAAGACAAATATTTAGTACAAATAATACATTTTTTCATACTTATAGATTTTATATTTCTAAATTTAAATCATTTTTATTGGCTTATTTAAGGCTAAGACATAACAGATACTACACAGATGTATTTGTCTCTAAAATTATAAGATGCATCAATAAAAAATTTGTTATGTTCAAATCTTTTAATTTTTTCTAACAGCTAAATTTTGCTGTTAGAAAACAAATATCTTTTTTTTCAAATACTTGTTTAATATATTATCAAGTTTCATATTTTAAAATTATATTTTTACCAATAAAATATCATTTAATTTGTTTTATTTAATTAAACTAAATCTTACTGACCGAATATGTTAACAAATTAGATCATTTATTTGTAACTAATAAATTATTGGTACAAAAATTTTGACAATATTTATAAATAAATTAAAAAAATCACAAGACATGGGATCGTCGGCAAGTAAACCATTAAAGGTTGTAAGTGTAGGGCGTGCTAATGTAGCTGCACAGGGTATATATGCTTTATTTGGCCTAAAAGATAATATTTTTCCTTACACAATATCTCTTCCCAGAAAAACCTCTGGCAGAGTTATATTGGACATTAGACTAGAAAAAATCAATTATGAAATAAATAGAAAACTAGAAAAGTCTCCAATAAAAACAAAGAAAAAAATAAATAATGCTTTAAAAGATGATCCAAGCGTATTGGCGCATAAAAATGTGTCAAGCGGTAAAAAATTAGAAACAGTGTACTATAATTCTAGAGACCATGGAGATCACCTAATTTTATGCAAAGAAAATATTTTTGAAATTAATAATTGTTTGGATGAACTTAACAATTTGGTTCTCTTACAACTTTGTTGTAATTACATAAATAGAATTCCGCCTTCAATTAATAAGCTGCAAAAACTTAATACATTAAGTTTAGCAAGAAATCAATTACGATACCTTCCTGAAGAAATTTGCGAACTAAAAAATTTATCGCATCTAGATCTTTCATACAATTTTTTAACTGAACTTCCTCAAAATATTAAAAACCTAGAATCCCTCAATTCTTTACATTTAGAACATAACGTGTTTACTGAGATGCCAATAGAAATTAGTAAATTGAAATCTCTCAGACATTTAAAATTCAATAATAATCTTATAAAAGATGTTCCCTTACAAATTCTTAGAATGCCATTTCTTATAGATTTTAATGGGATAACTACTACTTTTGTATACGAAAATATTTTTAAAGAAGTAGGAAAACTTGATCTAGTAGAAATGTGTCTAAGAAATATTGTTAAGAATACACTCTCTATATATAAAAAAATTGATAGATCTTTAATTGAACAATTATTAAATTTAGAAGAATGCGGGTTTTGTGGTGGTCCAATATTTAATGCTTATTTTCTAGTTAAAACTAGTGAATATTTTGAAGCACAGTTGTATCCCGTAAAATACAAAATTTGTAAAAAACATTTTAGAAACCAAAAAAATAGAATTAGTGCACTTTTTAGCAAGACTCATAATACTATTCCTTATAATATTTTAGTAAATCATAAAATTAGTGTGAAGGATATTTTTAATCCATCTATAAAAATAAAAAAACGGCATAAAGTGCATGGATTTTTTTCTAAAAAAATGCATTTATGGAGTCTTGCAAAGTTAAATAATTTGCACACAAAAAAAAAATTATTTAAAAAAATTGATCAGATTTTTTTTGAATAGAATAACTAATTATTATTAAAAAATATAATACCTGATTATAAATTGTCTTTAAAATAGCTTTTTGTTTATATCTTCAGTGTCCACTACTTTGTTATTAGTTGTTTTAAAACATTTATTGATGTTTAAATTTCCATTCATCTTCGCTTAATTTTCTCATTTATTAAAAAATTGTAAAAATTTAAGCTTTTATAGTAATTTTGAATTTTTGTTTCATAAAAAAAATGTCGTAAATTGATTTGTTAAAAATTATAAATGTTTTAATAAAACTCAAAATAAATTTAAAAAATTAAAAATAATTTTTTACATTTTTTTGTCTTTTTTTATTGTACTAAATTCCACGATATTTGTCTTTTTCTTGCCAGCATAAAGTGACATCTTTTTTACATCTAAACTATTTTTTTTAACTGCTGAATCCTTATTCGCCGTATTAAAAGCATTAACATTAGGTTTTATTTTTGGTACTGGAATTTGAGGCTTATTTAAAATATCTTGTTTTGATGCCACACTTTGACTGCCGCTAATCCATTTTTTAGCAACAGGATCATATTTTATATCATCAGATGCCTTAATATCGATTTTATAACTTTTTTTTTTGAATAAATTAAAAATTCCAAAAAAAGAACTATTACTTTCTGCATCACTTTCTGTTGATTTCGATTTTTTTATATCAACATTATCATCTTCATTTAAACTAAAACTTGATAAAAACAATGCAGTATCATCTTCTATTTTATCTTCATTTAGTGATCTATCATTATCAAAAAAATCGGCAAAACTTTTGCTGTGTTCATTGTCTTTATATACCGCCTTATTAGGCTTATTAACATTTTCATTGATTCCTATACTTCTATCAACTTTATGACTAATCTCCTGATTTTCAAGAGAATTTAAATGAGCATTTTGATCACTAACATTACAAATATACTCATTAGATTTTTTTATATTTTTTTTCTGTTCATGAGTAGATACAACATTTATGTTATTTTTATCATTAGATTCGGGCATATCTAATATCTTAGAAATTCCAAAATTTAATACATTTTTTATTCCAAAATTCCAGTTTAACTTAAACCATTCATCTAAAATAATTTGAAAATCTTTTCTAAATTCTTTTTTATACAATTTATAAAACTTTTTGACACCTTCTAAATCCCTCTCTTTTGTGTCGTTAATATACTCATACATCAAAATATCAATGCCACAAATTTTTTTAATTTTTTTATGAATTATTAATAAAATTTGTAAAATAGCATGCCTATGTGTAAAATATTCAAAGTAATCCTTCAAGTCAATAATATTACATAAAAATAAAGAGATCAACACCAAACATCCATCAGTATAATCATTTTTAAACACCTCTAAAATATATTTTGTATGTAAATGCGATTTTGGGCTATTAGCAAAATGCATAAAATAATTTATCCAAGATTGATTCATTTTAAATGTATTATCACAAAACAGAAATCGCATATCTTCATCGAGAATTTCAGAAAAAATTCTTTCAATAATTTTTGGATCATTTTTAGAAATTAGTAATGCTAATATCCACATTTCTTTTTTTAAACAATAGTCAATCGCCATTCTGTTGTTAAACGTTGATATATTTAATGCTGTATTAATATCGTAACTTTTCTCAGTATCAACAAAAGTTTTTGAAGAATATTGTACCTGTTTAGCACCAATAACTTCACATATACTCTCTGCATGAATATCCTTTAACTTAATAAGTTGAAGAATTAAATTAAGAGATTTACCTTCAAAAAAATCTGTTATTTCATCATCAACAATTTCAAAGAAATGTAGCAATTTAAATCTTCTAAAAATGTTAACATCAACTTCCTTTTGTGTTCCATCTTTTAAATATCTCTTTTGAAATGATGAATTCAATGATAAAACACTATTACCAAAAACGCACACTAAAGGCTTTTTAATAGTAAGATCAGCAGAAGACCATTTAATATTTCCCTTTCCATTTTTAACCAGTTCAGTGTCATTGGGTGTGTTTGTAGACTCTACAAGTGCTTTAGTGTCAATATTCGTGTTAGAAAACAATAAATTTGTTTTTTCTGTCTGTTTATCTTCTTTTTCTATAAAATTGGATGTCCTAGATTCCAAATTAACATCCTCATTATTGCAAGCAGTAACATTATTTTGATGTTTACAGCCATCAGTTAACACGGAATTTTCAAAAGATGTCGAAAAAGGTAAATCAAAATCTCCATGCTGTTCCTGAATGATATCTTGAGAAATTTCCTCACTTGTTAGAATTGTATCAAAGTTGCTATTATTGCTAGCATCGATAGATAACTTTTTTATATCTTCTTCTATTTTTTCAATATTTGATAGTTTATTAAATACATCTTCTTTAATTTTTTCTTGTGTAACATTTTGTAATTTATAAGGTTCTTCATTCACTATCTGTTCTAACTGCGTAGCAATAATTTTTTCTGATAAAATCCTTTCATCTCCATTTTTATTATTTTCCGCCTTCAATATTTCTGACAACTTATTATTTGCAGTGAAATTTGTAGCATCATTAGAAATATTTTTATTTACAAATCCATCTACATTATTAAATGCATCATTCTCACTTATCACGCCATTAAATGTTTTTTTCACTTCACACATCCCTTTTTCATTTGTAAAATTAAATTTTGTATTATTTTGTTCTAAATTATTTTTGTCTTGTGATATTTCAAAATGAACAGTTTTATTCTTTTGTATCTTAAATACATTTTCTTCCTCGTCATCAGACCACAAAAAATCCATATTTTCCGAAGTTAATATTTCATCTTGTAATGTCGGTTCATCATCCTTTTTAATTTCTTCTTGGGTTCCATTAATCAATGATTCAAAATCCTCATCACTTTCATCTTCAATGTTCCAAAATGTCTCATTGTTATTTTGCATAAAAAGGGTTAGAAAATATTTTAAAATACATACTTTCCTTTTATAAGGCTGATAAACAATTATGAATAATGAAAATTATTGTTTCTGCATAATAGAAATTATTGTTTCTGCATAATAGAAATTATTGTTTCTCATAATGAAAAGTATTGTTTCTGCATAATAGAAATTGTTGTTTGTAATTTATATATTTTCTTAATATTTATATCTTAACAAATATTCTATAAAATAATTTTAACACAAATAATTACATTAGATTTTGAATGATAAGTATATAAACGGCTCCATTTTATATTTTTAGCAACACAAATTTTCATTTTTTGTTTAATATTCAACTGTATGTTACAATTAAAATCACGAGATACAGAAATATTTCATCTTCTAAACACGAATGTTTTTGAACAGCTTTATAAATTAGATGTGGTAAATGCTTTCTTTTTAAGTACTTATTTATTTACATTTTAATATTTATATTCTAGTTTATATTTTTTGATATTATTTAAGACTTATTTTATACAATAAAATATTTGTAATTTACATTAAAAATATTACCGTTTTTATGTCTAGTGGTCAAAAAAAAAGAAAAACTGTTGAACAAAAATTATGGGAAAACAGAAAATTAAAAATGGCTGGTATACAACCTGATGATTCAGAAATTGATGTTGATGAAGATATTGAGATCGAATTTAAAAAACAATATAAATTTAATACTTTGGAATTCAAACCAGAAGAAAGTTTTGATTTTACTAATCCCTTGTACTTAATTGGTTGTAAAAAAAGTTTGTTTTATGAAAAATACAAAAGTACAATAAACAAATTTGATTTTAAAAATATAAAAATAAAGCATAAACATGAAGCTAGACCTTTAGAAAAAATTACAGAACTTCCTGTTTACAAACAAAAAGATGAATTTTTAGATTTTTTTGAAAAAAATAACATAATTCTTGTTACAGGGGAGACTGGTTGTGGTAAGAGTACTCTTATCCCCAAATTTATTTTTGATAAATTTAACTATCGCATCTGTGTGACACAACCAAGAAAAATAAGTGTTAAAAGTTTATATTATCGTATGAAGCATTTTTATGATTTTGAGATTGGATATGTTATTAAATATGAAAAAGAAATAACACATGCTACAAAAATTAAATATGTTACTGAAGGCATTTTACTAAAAGAATTTTCTTCTGAGGTGTTATTATCAGAATATGATGTTATAATTTGCGATGAAGTACATGAAAGAAGCATCAATCTTGATATAATATTAGGCTTTTTAAAAATTATTAAGCACAAAAGATCAAATTTAAAAATTATTCTTATGAGTGCTACTTTACAAGTTGATGATTTTAAACAATATTTTGATGTTTCTGCTTTTCATTTTGGTGGAAGTCAATATCCAGTGTCTATACATTATTTAAAAATTAATGTTGATGATTATATCGAATGGACTGCAAAAAAAATATTGCATGTGCATCAGAAAAAAGAAAAAGGTGATATTTTAGTATTTTTAAGTGGTAAAGAAGATATCATGCAAGTTTATACAATTTTACAAAATTTTGTATTGTGTAAAGACTTAATAGTTATACCTCTTTATGCAGAAATTATGAATGATGTTTATGACATAATATTTAATTATAAAGAAAATAGACGTAAATGTATATTATCTACAAATATAGCAGAAGCATCTGTTACTATTGATAATATTAAATATGTTATAGATTCGGGCTTCCATAAAATTCTTTATTACGATTATAATTTTGGCGAACGCCTCATTAAATATCCAATAAGTAAGGACAATGCTATACAAAGAGCAGGTAGAGCGGGAAGACTTATGCCGGGCGAATGTTATAGAATGTATACTGAAGAATCTTACAATAATGATTTAAAAAGTCATAACATCCCTGAGATTTTAAGATCGAATATCACTAATACCATTTTAGTATTATTATCTGCGAATTATAAAGAAATAAATAACTTTCCATTTATTTCTAAGCCAAGTGAAAATCTTATTCAGGCAGGTATCAATAATTTATTTATACTTAATTGTGTAGACACAAATCTAAATATCACTCAAGATGGTAAAAAAATTATGGATTTTGGAGAGGATATTTGCTTAGGAAAACTTATTTTAGAAGGTATAAAGCTTAATTGTTCTTATGATGCTTCATTACTTGTGTGTATTTTAAGCTTTGATTTTTATAACTTTTTTGAATTATTTCGGAAAGAACCTTATTATGATAATTGTGTAATAGACAATAACGAGTTTTGTACCTTACTTAATTTATTTAAAAATGGTATAAAAAATATTAAAGATGCTCCATATATTGTTTCTAAAGTTAAATATAAACATGATAATTTAATAAAAAGACTTAAGTCTTTAGGATATCAGATTACTTTTTCTAAACATATAAATATAGCAATATACAAAACATTTTTTTACAATATTTGTAAGAAATGTGATAACTATTATGTTCATATTTTTACAGGAATAAAATACAAAAATAATACAAGTAATGTTGATGGTAAATATGTTCTGTTTTATAAATCATTCAAAAATAGAAAAGAAGATTTAATTATGCAAGTTATGTGTACAATTAATTCTAAAGAAATTTTATATGAATTAAGTAACTACATAAAGCCACAAAATGAAAAAGAAATACAAAAGGATTATTTTTTTAATATTTTTGAAAAGCTTTATGATAGATTTGAATTAGAAGATATTGATTAGTTAAAAACAAAAAATTAAAGATTTAATCTGTTCGCCAAGTAATAGGTACTGAATCAGTTCTGTATCTTTGTGTAATGGTACATTCTTCAATTGTAAATTTTTGATTACTTTCATGCATTAGTAATCCAGCCAAGGCTATCATAGCACCATTATCAATACAATATCTCTCGTCAGTTGCGTATAACTTTCCTCCTCTTTCACAAACCATAATATTCATCATTTCTTGTAATCTCTTATTACAGCCTACGCCTCCTACAATCAACACTTCCGAACTATTATTAAATGCCATAGCTCTTTCAGTGACCTCAACCAAAGCAGAAAAAACTGTTTCTTGTAAACTATAGCATATATCATAAACTGTCTGTTGGTCTACAATCTGTATATTTTTGATTATAGAAATTATTCCTGAAAATGATACATCCATGCCTTTAACTACATAAGGTAGTTCAATGTACTTTTTGCCCTTTTTAGCATATAGTTCTATATTTAAACCAGGTGCAGGATCATTTGGCAACTTAAGTATTCTAGCTACCTTGTCCAAACAATTTCCTACAGCATTATCAAGTGCCTCACCGAATATCTTGTATTTGTTTTTGTTATAAGATATAATCTGTGTATTACCACCACTGACATACAGCACAGTCGGATTATTTGCTTTTGTAATAAATCTACCCATTTCAATATGTGCTATACAATGATTCACTGGTACAATGGGTATTTTTAGTGTAAGACTTAAGGCTCTCGCAACGGTAGCTACAGTAGACAAGGCCTGCCCCATGCCTGGACCCTTTGTATAACAAATAAGATTTATATCTTGCAATTTGATATTAGCTTTATCTAAAGATAAACGGAGTAAATTAAAAATTTCTAATCTATGATGTTCAGCTGTCTTAGCTGGTATAAATCCCTCCCCCGCAGGTGGAACAAATGTTTTTCTTTCGTTTGTTACAATCTTTTTATTAATGAGAATTCCAATTCCTAATTTATTAGCACTTCCTTCAAATCCCAAGACAATCATGGGTATTAAAAAATAAATGTTAGACTGTTTTAAATATTTTTAAGCTAACTATATTTATGAATATAAATAAAATTATAATGACTTCTATATTTAGTTAATTCGAAAAATTTGAAATTTAGTATTTTTGATAAAAACGGGAAAATAATTAAGATTCTTTAATAAGTCTTAATGTGTGTATAATCTATTATAATCATTTTACAAATTTTCTTGTAATTAAATATTCAAAAAGAAAGTTTGTTTGATTTAATTTAAAATTAAAATATTGCTATCTTTTTGTAAAAGAAGTTATTTAAACAACTGTCAATTATATCAAATAGAATGACTATTTTATCAAAAAAATTAATTTATTTATTTCTTCTTAAAATAACATACTACTACTATCAAGCGCAAGGCAATTACTTAATACATTTAAGCAATTAAATTATACGTTCGATGTAAAATTATTTAAAACCAACTAAATAAGTATAAATATAAAAATTACACACCTACACCTTCCAAAATGATGATAAATTTAAACTAAGTATCTTAAGATAAATTAATTCTATAAAAAATATTAAATTAGATGAATATTAATTTTGCTTTCTTAAATAATATTTAAGTAAATAATTTAATTTTTAAGCAATTTTTAACTGTATACACGCAATTAATAACTGACCTTTATATTAATATCATAAAATATTAAAAAGATCTTTAAAAGTTTATAGATTAGAAATTTACAAAAAAGAGATCTTTTTTAAATAGAAAACAATGAAAAAAAGTAGAGATAATCTACAATAATAGTAATACACAATTTAATGATTGTAATAACTAAATTATTTAAAAATATAGTTTAAAATTCAATAATATAAAGCGAAGTTTATAGAGCACAGAATATTTTTTACTTTATAAAAAAGAAAATTTATAAGAGCAGTTTTTAAAAAATTAAAAGTCGAGAATTTTTAAAAGAAAAACTTTTTAACTCGTTTATAACAATATTGTAATTGTAATGGAAATCAATATTTTTGTAATATTTTATTACATTTTGTTGTCTCTAAAAATTATCACTAAAAAACACAAGTTTAGTTATTATTAAAATTTTATAAGAATTTCACGTAAACCTATTTACCTTATAATAAATTATCTAAGGTTTTTACAACACATTTTATGTAGCACTATATTATTAAATGAATTTTAATTTTTAAATAAATTAAAAATAAACTAGCATAATTGAATACAAAAGATTATATAAAAAATTGCTTAGTTATACACCAACATATCGATAGTTTTAAAAAAGGTTAAATTATTTTAAACTTTAATTTTTTACTAATGTAATTTTCAAGAAATACATATACAAAAACACATTTAAAAAATAATAAATTAAAAAACATAATTAATCACTCATATTTAATCAATAAATGATAATCCACTCTTCTTAGCAGTTTCTTTAGCAAACAATTCTAAGTATTGATAAACAATAGAAGTTGCAAGAAAAACATTCGTGCCACTTCCTATAGTGTCAAATAAATTAGAAAGTAAAACTACCAAAGAAGTAAAAAAACCACCCAATAATGCTGCAGTAGGAATGTATTTAGAAAATACGGATTCCATATTAGATTCTCTAATTCCTTTCAAAGTCATTCTGTTTTTTTTTAAGTTACTAGCTGCTTGTGAAGGTGTAGTGTCAGAGATTTCAATCCACGCTCTACTCATAAAAGAAGATGATAAAAAAGTAAAACCTAAATAAATTAAGAAATAAATTGGTCGACGGTACAAATCAAAAATACTGTCTGGCGGAAACACATAATAAGCAATACCTCTAAGAGGATGCATCCTACCAGTCCCAACAGTATCCCATATACCTAAAATTCTAATAAAATTATTAGTAGGCTTCCACTTGTACAATAATCTTGATATTGTACAAAAGTATGATACAATATAATTCTGATATATTACAGGAGAAGTACTTGTATATAAAAGCTTTATAGGGTATTTTCCTGTTTGTCCTCTGACTTGTGTAGATTCTGTCGTAAGCTCTACTCTCAATCCTTGCAAGTAAATAACAAAAATAAAAAGACTAACAGTGGCTAAAAAAGTAAAAAGATTCGGTAAATTTTGTCTAAATAATATTTCGTATAAAGCAGAAAGCTTGTTAGTCCTTACTATTAATAAATGGAAAAAAGCAATTACAGACCCTTCAAATTCAATACCTCTACCAGTGAAAAACACTTTGGGACTGAAAGCTTTCCATACAATACTTTCACACACATTTGCGGCGATAAAAAGATTAACACCATTTCCAAGTCCATAGCCTTTTTGTAACAGTTCATCCAATAAAATAATTATAAGCCCCGAAAAGATTAATTGTACAATAAGTAGAATACAATAAGTCATACCAAGATCCTTAGGTTGACCATAAAATCCGGTAAATACTTGTACAGTGGCCTGTGCAATTGTAACTATTAATGAAATTAATCTAGTGGCTGCACCGTGAAGAAGTTTATCTTCTTTAATCGAAAAATCTACTTTTATAATTTCTGACATTGTCAAAAACTGCATAATCATCGAAGCTGTTATCACAGGAGATATTCCCAAATCCATAAGTGTTCCCCTGTTAGAGGCCATCATCATCCTCATCCAATAAAATGGATCAGCTTGTTCACTTGCAATAATACCAAAAAGAGGGACTTGTGATGCTATCATGTAAATTAAAATTGCTAGAGTACTCCAAATAAATTTCTCTTGAAATGTAACTTGTCTAGATGGCTGTACTACATCGGGGATGTATGAAAGTAGTGGCTTTATCATATGTAAAACGTTAACTAAATTATTTGGTTCACACTTACATGTCATTAGGGGGTGTAAACAAAAAATAAATTTACGATACAATGCATAAAAAACAAACACAAAAAAGGAATTATATTATTTTGTACTATAAATGTGTATTTAACAAAAAAAGACTCTTTTAAAATATAATAATAATAGTTACTATTTTATAAATTATTTAAAATTTAATTACTAAGAGAAAAATAATGTTTTTAGACACTTCTTAGAAAATTTAACAATTAGGTATTCAAAATTTGTAAATTTTGACTTAATATTGATACTTTAAAGAAAACAAAAAAGGTAAATTATGTCACTTTTAAAATCAATTTGCAAATTTTGACTTAATATTGATACTTTAAATATAAATTTTATAGAATAGCCTTAAAAAATAAAAGTAATTCTGTTATATTTTAAATGCTTAATTTGCTTCAAAAAGAAGATTTTAAATTTACATCACTAAATTTACTCTACTACTTTACAAGCAAAACATTTCTTTATAATTATTTAAAAAAGACAAGACAAATTTTTCACAGTTTTGTTTTTTTTAAATAATAAATATTTTTATTTTTAAAAATATTGTAGCATAAATAAAATTAATTTTTTTTTATTTTGTCCCTCAAATATGAAAATTGAAAGACAAAAAAATATTTATTTTATAGATCTAAATCAGAATCTGTTTAGAGGATACATTGAGACTTATATTAATAATAAAGAAGATATATTTTTTAGATATAAATTTTCTGCCTTAGAAATAACAGATATTGCCGTATTCCAAAATGGGCAGCTTATTACTGATGCATTATTTACTATTGAATATCTTAAAGATAAAATAGATGATAGAAAGCATTTTCAGGCAGTTAATTGTAATTACCTTAATATTAAGTTACTTGAAATTTATAAAAATAAAGATTTAAAGATTAAGATAGATTTTAAGAGTAAAGAAGAAAATTCAGCTATTTGTTTTTATAAACCACTTACGGATAAAGATAATCATAAAGAGATGGTATGCAATAATAAAAATAATGATAGTTCAGGAATATTTCCTAGTGTTGATTCTGATCAAAAATATAAATGGGAGCTTATTTATGTGTATTCATCATTAGAAGAACTTAAAATTATTTCTCCGGGAATTTTGAGATCTTTTGTTGAAGAAGACAATTTGCTTATATCATCTTATTCAATAGAAAACAGTTGTGCAAATTTTATTAATTTTGCAATAGGGACTTTTTCAAGGCATGAAATTTTTAATGGGGATGATAAGAAATTGATATTCTGCCCGTTGTATATGAAACAGTTAAATGAATCAATTTTAGAAATAATTGATGATTTTTCTAACATTATTAAATACGTAGAATTTTTATTACAGATGTCATATCCTCTTGAATCTTTAAGTGTTTTATTTACATTGATAGAAACTGATATGATACATTCTTTAAATGTCGCTATTTATAATATTTCACATATTTCTACTTTCAATGACATTGAACCTAAGTTTTTAATCAAAAGATTAATTTCTAATATTATTTCGTCACAGATATTTGATTATCATGTTTATTCTAGAGATAATACTGATTATTGGATTTTTTGTGGACTTAAAGGATATCTTGAAGACTATTGTGTCAGAATTTTATTGGGAAACAACGAATTTTTGTTTCAATATAAAATTGACAAGGATTTTGTTTTAAAAAATGATATTTATGAATTACCATTGTGTGACGAGAAACGTGACCAAATATCTTATAAAACAGATTTTTTTATTAAAAAATCAAAACTTGTTTTTCACACACTAGAAAATAATCTTAGTAAAGCGTTTTTAGAAAAAATTATACGATTTTTGATAGAAAAAAAAGATGAAGTTTTAGTGAATTTTACACCGGATTTTTTATCTTTAATTAAAGATATTACAGGGAAAGATATGAAAGATTTTTTTGAATTTTATGTATTTAAGCCTGGCTTATTAAAAGTTAATTTTAGATATAGCATTGATACAAAAAAAAATAGAGTAGATTTTAAGATTGAACAAAGACCTACGAGTAAAATTTTTAATCATAATACCAAAGCTATTGGAAATATTTCTATAGCATCATATGAAGTAGAAGGATGTTTTGATCATGTTATTAATATGCAAAATTCTGATCATTTTTATTATCATGTACGAACTAAGAAAAGGAAAAAAATTGAAGAAGAGGAGGATGAAATAATGCCTCTTTTATGGATGAGAATGGATCCAAAGAGAGAACATCTAATAGATGGTTTTATAGAACAACCTGATTATATGTTTATAGAACAAGTTTTAGATAAAAATGTTATAGGACAGTTAGAAGCTTTAGACCAACTTTCTAAAAATATTTCGATACAAATTTGTGAAGTCTTAGAAAGAGTTTTAGATAGTTCCCATGTTTTTTATAAAATCAGAATTAAGGTGATGTATATTTTATCAAAAATCAATATTGACAATTTTATAGGGTTTCAAAGATTAATTCAATTTTTTACAAAAAAATATTTTGTACAATCATCTACGATTGTTAAACCCAATGAATTTTTGTTTGTAAATTATTTTCTACAGAAGCATTGTGTAAAAGCTTTGTCTTATACTAATCCATCAATAATAAAAGGCTATAATGGCCGGAATGTAGCTTCTTTTTCTGTTATTTGTTCATTTATAATTAATATATTAAAGTTTAATGATAATTCTGCCAATCTATACAATGATTCATGGTATATTGCCTCTGTAATTGAATGTCTTAGTAAACCTATTTTAGCTTTACAACATTTTGAAGATTTAGAAAATTATAATAGCAAGGATACATTTTCTGAGCATTTATCCAGTAATGTTATTGAAGATAGCAATACGAATGATTACATTGTTAATAATAAAGGTACTGATTTTCAGTATGATCTACAAGAAAATAGTTCTGATGATCTTAAAGAAATTTTTAAAGAAGATGCAATTGATAATTTTACATTTAATGAAGAAAATGTAAAAAAAGATAAAAATTCTTTTAAATTTATTCAAGAGGCTTTAGAAGAAGTTGAACGATACAGAATTATGGATATGATATTTTCATCACATAAAAATATTATTACTGAAAGTATAATTTATTTATTGGGCAGATTAAGCATTTATGGATGTATTACACTTACAAAATTAGCTTTAATTAATTATTCAAAATATCCCAATTCCTTTAAAGTGAGAAAGGCTTCCTTTGTAATGTTGACATTCTTATACAATGATGATATGGAGTGTTTAAAGTACTTGTTTGATGTCATTAAGTCTGATATTATAGATATTAAATTACTAATTCTTAATTCTTGGATAAATCTTTTAAGTATAAAAAATGAAGAAACAAAAAAAACATTGTTTCCTTTCCAATCAGAATTCCATTATTTATTAGAATTATACGCATATGATTATGATTTTAAGTACAAAGTCTTTGAAATTTTAGATTTTTTAAACAACAAAAATGTGTCTATTAATGAATACAATAAAAAATTGATAACACTGTGTGAAACTAAATTTAATAAGAAATTTATAATTAGAAAACTTGAACAAGAAAAAATTATTACAACTCAAAATCTATTAAAAATTAAATTAAAAGATTTTAAAAAGATAAAAAGGCAGTTTTTATTAGATACTTATTTATTAAAACTAGCAAAACCTAAAAAGCGAGACTTGGAGAAAGAAGAAATTATTGAAGAACGGACAAAAAAAGAAAATACGGCTGCTATTCAAAATGAAATAATATTTTTAGGAACATCTAAAAAAGATGATGTAAAAGTTTACAATAAATCAGAACTTATTGTTGAACAGAAAAATTCCAGACTGGAAGATGTTAATTTAGAAGAAATGCTGAGATTTGACGAGTTAAATAACGAATTAGACGAAATTTATCTAGAATTTAATAAAGTACCTAACGAACAAGTACAAAGTATTAATTATTCGAGTAATGAAATGTCAAGTATTAATTTTTCAAAAAATACAGAACATTTTAATCGAATAGTTAATTTTGAAAATGATTATTTTAATGATAAATCTTTGAAACAAACAAATCTTACGATAAATAAATTGTTTAATGATTTTAGGAATCAAGTCTCTGAGAATTCTCGCAGGACAGATTCAAGCACATTTAGTGGGACTTTTAATTATTTAGAAACCGAGTTTGATGATAATTTTGATAGTACATCAAGGAAAAATAATACAAAAGAAACCTCAATGGATAGCTTTCCACAAATTAGTTCACAAAAAGTTGATTTAGAGAAATTCTTATTAAGTGATAATAGTGAAGATGAAGAAAAGCAGGATTCATGTAAAACACAAATACTAGAAGAACGTGATTTTGATAGAGATTTTGTAGATATTGGATTTATACCTATAAGAAATAATATAACACAGTTTTCGTCGTCATTTGAATCACTTTTATCCTCATCTAACAAATATTCTAATTTTTCGCCTTTGCAAAAAAATGCCTTCCTAAAAAATGAAGAAAGCAATACTATTCCTTTAAAAGATTTTGCACAACCAAGAGATATTTTTGAAAACAGTAAGTTCGCCACTTCATTTTTTGTTTCTGAATCTTGTGCTGCCGATAAACTTTCAAAATCGACTCTTGAAGATAGTTTGGATAATAGTACATCACAGATTAAATCTTCAAATGAAAATCGTAAAGAATATTTTTTAAATAGTGATACAGAGTTTATGCGCATTAAAAAGAAAAATTTAGAACCTTTAGAAGCATTTGTTTATAGGATTGATGAACTTACATTGCGTTTTCCTATACGAACCAAAATTCGATTACCAGCCTACAGAAATTTTATTAAATTTGAAAAAGACACTGTATTTAGAAAAAGAAGAAATAAATTTGAAGAGTTAAGTTCTCCTGAATTTTACTCTTCAAAAAAGACATCTTATCAGATAAAACATAATGATCCGATAACAAAAAAATTATTTTATGGAACAATTAATAATATATCAGTTAAACAAGTAAATAAGGTTATATTTAAAAATAAGAATAATAGCTTTTTTGATTGGAGACCCAAAACTTTTAAAGAGATAGAAACATATGTTTCTAGTGAGCATAGATATAAGAAGATTTGGCGAGAAATGGAGAGAGCTTTAGTTTTTGCATTGTCGTATTCGCAATATGGATCTCGCACGTTTAATATTGCAAAAAGATTATTTGACATTTTTGAAGTTAAAATTTATGAAACTTATCAGATACCAAAAATTGTTCATCCTATGTCGAGTATTTTACAAAATTATTGTGTAGATTTTTTAAATAATTTATGTTTAAATGATAAATTCTTTTCTTTTATACGACCAGTTAATATTGATGGTTTGGATGCATATGTTGATATTGTTAGATCTCCTATGTGTTTGGACATTGTACAAAAAAAGATGATGAAATATTTAACTATAGAATCATTTTACGGTGATATTAAGCAAATTTATAAAAATTGCGTATATTTCAATCAAAACAAGGCAGAGATAGTTCACAGTGCAAAGAAGTTACTAAAAAAAACTCAAGATTTTGATCAATTTCTTGAAAATTACAAAAATAAAATAAGTAGTGATGAATTTATTAAATTACTATTACAAAGATTTGAAGATAGCATAAATTTTATAGATATTTTGAGAAAATATGACAATAGGCAAATAGTTACATTTAAAGAACTAATTGATGAAGTAAGAAATATTAAAAGTAATAGTATGAGAAAGTTTATATCACAACAGGAGTTACAGAGAGAAATGGAGATATTTGAAGATCAAATATATCATGCGTTTAGTGTTTATGGTGAGAAGGTGTATTCATGGGATATTTATAATTAAATATAAATAGTTTTTATGTTATAGAAATTAAATATAAATAGTTTTTATGTTGTGTAAATAATTAAATATAAATAATTTTTATGTTCTATTTGTAGTTAACATTAATAGTTTTATGTTTTATTTATAGTAACATTAATAGTTTTTATGTTCTATTTATAGTAACACTAATAGTTTTTTGTATTAAAATGTTATGCAATTACATGACAAATTTATTTGATTTCATTTTCTTTTATTTAACTTCACTATATGTTTATTATAGAATAAATATAAAATACATGATGCATTACTGTAGATAATGGTTATTATTTATTGCAAACATGTAATGTAAGCAATTTATATTAATTTATTTCTTGATATTATTAAAGACATGTCTATGTGTTAAATAAAATACAAGGTGTTTTAATTTTACCATATAAATAAATTATTAATTTTTTTTATAGTTCTAATATTAAAATCTAAAAAAATTTAAAATATAATTAATAGATTGTTAAGAGAAATGCTATAAAAACCCTTATTCTAGGATTATTTTTCAATAAGATTTATTCCTAATAAAATTAACATTTCTTTATTTAGTTTATATTTTATTGGTCAATTTTGTAATTTGTTTTGTTTCATTTATGCAGTAAAAATATAAAAAAAAAATTTTTTTACCCCTAATATTTTATGTCTGATGTCGGAAATTCTCTTGCTGTTGATGCAGATTCATACTATATTGAATTAATAAAAGAAGTTTCTACTGCCATAAAAAAATGCACAGGATGTAAATTGAAAGATGGTAACACTCTAGAAGATTTGGTTACTAATTATTCAATTTTACTGTCCTGTGTGACTTCACATTCTACAAATATAGAAAAAAATAGAGATGTTGAAATATTTTACAAGATATTTCTTATAGAAAAATATTTACTTAAATTTATTTGTGAACCCGAAATATTGACTGTATGTGAGGCATTAAGGGGAAATTACAATAATCAGAAGATTAAAGAGGATATAGCAGTGTGCAGTGAAAAGAATTATAAAGGTGTTATTAATGCATTAAATTGTGAGCAAGATATAGAATCTTTGACTTTTAAATATTACAAGCATGTTACACCGCAGATGGATGTTACAACAACTGAAATTTCTGAATATGTTTTACTTGTTTTATACATGCGAAGGGAATATGTTAGGTTTTTTAAAATCTATAATCATGTAAAACACTCATTATTTTCTAATAGACTGGCAATATTACTAACTTTTAATGATGATTGTGAGTTTACTGCAAAATGCGAAAATATAAAAAATAAGAGTTTTATTGATTTACAAATTATAAATAAAGAAGTACAAGATATTGCCAGATTAACATTTTTAGAAAATGAAGATTATGAAACATGGAAAAAAGGAGTTGAGTATTTTTTTAATTGGAATGAAAAAGTAAGACTATGGATTAAAAATAGATGTAATTCATCTTGTTTACTAGATAAGTCTATGATTGATGAATGTATTAGAAGCAAGAATTATAATGACGGATGGATTATCTATAAACAAGGCAATAGCTCTATAGTTAATGAATATCAAAAGATTATTATACTTTGTATTGAAGCAATTAGACATACATCTGATGATTTATGGACTAATAGGCTTCTAGAAGTAATGGACATGGCTATTGATAAACATGATCTTCATATTTGTTGTGATTTAGTTCAAGATATATTTCATAAATTAGGAGGGGTATGTGAAAAGCAAAGATCTAAGATTGTTAAGCATTTTATTAAAAAAATACGCGTAATGGAAAACAATGAAGAAATTGTTACTTATATTATTAAAGGTATTAATGAGTTGTGTAAAGAATGTATTAATACAGAGACATGTGATTTGTGTGTTGCACACGCCAATCTTATTTACACCGAATGGAAAAAGAATAACACTGGTGGATTTTTTTTTAAAAGTCACAGTAAATTTGAAACAGAAATTTATGAATCTATGCTCGATATGTGTGATACTATTGATGATTGCAATGGATTTAGAAGTGTATGTAAAGATTTAGTTAATAATGATGCTAAAATTAATAAAGGAATATATAAGAAATTACAGATAGTACATAACAAAACATGCAAGAATTGCAAGCATGAAAATTATAAAACCTTGAAGGTTCAGGATGAACATTTGTTACTAAACTATATTTTTAGTGGATTTCATTTATAATATTAAAATATTATACAATGTCTAATCGTCGCGAGGTTTCCTCGATTTTTTTGTTTGTAACTTTGTGTTGACATTATTTAATTTTAAAAGTAATGCTGTATTTTAGTGTTTAACACAAATTGGTGTGTAATTAATAATATTTTATGCTATAAAAATGACTGTTGAAAATTATTAATTGTAACTAAATAAAAATTTACAAGTAAAAGCACACATTAGTATTTTAAGAAAGAAACATATTTTAAAGAACAATTAATTTATAATGTGTTTATAAGTGTGCCTATTTATTTTCAAGTGTTTAAACTTGATGTACAAATGTGTTAATATAGATTAATATAAGGAATAATATGATTTCAGAATTATGTTTTTTTATTTTTTTGTAAAATATCTGCTTGTTTGAACGAACACTAGTGTATTCTTTTGTGCAAATAAGATTATTTTGTTTACATAAAAAATTGTAAAAATATTGGAATTATCTTTTAGGTCATTGTTATTAAATTTATATATATTATTGCTTTTAAAGTTGTATGTGGGCAAATATGTTTTGCTTCATTGTAAAAATAAATTTAGGTAAGATTCCTGCTTACTTATTTTTTAAAAGGTTAAAACAAGCAATATTTTTTTGATGAATTCACGAATACGCGTGTAAACTGTCTAATCATTTTAAGAATCTGTAATAATAAATTTTAATATTTTTGGTATAAATGGCATCTTACATTATTATTGCAATTTTTAATTTTTCAATATTTTTTTTATTGATAAAACAAATATTTTGATAAATAATCTTTAAAATCTAAATTTTATTAAATTGTATTGGTATTTAATATTTGTACTTTTTTACCAAATGCTTAGTTTTTTATATTAAATTATCTATATTAGCTATACTGCTTTTTAATACTAAATTTATTGTAGAAGCTATTTTATAAAAACAGAACATGAGCTTTTGTTTAAAAGCAATACAAAAATACAATATTATTGATCTACAGTTAATAGAAAACAATAAATGGATAAGGTTAGACTTTGATGCTAATAATAACACAGAAATTTTTTATAAAAGTTATTGGTGAAAAAATAATATTTGCACTTACAAATTTTTACAGCAGATGTTTTTGAAAACAACATATATTTAATAATTTTGTAAGACAAAAATTTAGTAAAAATTTAAACGAAATAATGATTAAATTTATAGAAAAAGATTGTAAAAACGCTAAATTACATTTATTGGCAATGTCTGTATTTTATTTAACCTTACTTTAAAAAAAACATACAATGTTGTAATAAATAATTTGAAAATCTTGTGACTAAAGAAAAACGCTAGTAAGAACTTGACGACTTAATATTTCTGTAAAAAGAATTAATCAACAAATAAATAAATCAAATCTTACTTTATAGATGAATTAATTTTTTATAAGTTAGTGAATATTTAGGAAATATAAAAACTTTATGTTACCGTCGGTAACCAACAAAGCAATTTAAGACTGAAACTGTAAAAAGTCTGTTTGACGTTTTATATCGAATTAAAACATAAACTATTTAAAGAAAGAAAAGATAAACATATGCCGAATAAACCTTTTCCTACGTAAAAGCAGTTTTCCTCCCATAATTAACCAACCAAAGGTAAAATTTTATTTAGGAAAAAATTATGTTATGTTTGTAATTATAAAATTTTTACAGAGAATATACAAGCTATCGTGCCCACGAGAATAAGCCCGTCCTTAAAGTAATCCTCAACATACTTATATTATCATTAGTAAATTTATTTATTGTCATTTGTTTTGGCCCAAATCCTATCTAAAGCGACTTTTGTTCAAATTACTAAAGTTATTATAACCTCCCATTTTTTCTTACTTTTTATTTAGAAAGTTTTTATTTAATAAGTAGCTCACGCTATATCGTTGAAAACGGGATCGTAAATTTAATGTGTGTTCTTTCTTTTCAATGGATATGATGTGCTTTTATGTATGTACTTATTTTATTATTTTTAATTACAAATTGCCCTTTTTATTATAAATTAAAATTTGCTATAGACGCTTCGTATAAGATTAATATAACTAAATAAAAGCGAGGGAAAATGCACAAAAACACCGTTCCGCGCTTAGATAAAAAAATCTAACACTTATGCTACTTTTATTTAAAAAATAATAAGAATTTTACAATTTTTAAAAAAAAGAAAGGTTAAAAAATAAATAAATGTTCAGATTCAAATTTTTTAAATATATTGACTAGCTTGTGCTATCCCGTTGTAAACGGGATCAAAATAGTGTATGTTCTTTGTTTTGGTGGATTTAATGTATGTATATGATGTGCCTTTGTGTATGTACTTATTTTATTGTTTTAAATAATAAAATGCACTTTTTATTATAAATATAAATTTACTATAGACACCTTGTATAAGATTAGTATAACTAAATAAAAGCAAGGGAAAATGCACGAAAACACTGTACTGTGGTTAGAGAAATAAACTTTAAAATAATGCTATTCGTTATTAATAAAAAATACAAAAAATTTAAAAAAAATTCTAAAAAGAAGGGTTAAAAAATAAATAAATTTTTAGATTTAAACTTTTTATATATATAGACTGGCCAACGCTATCCCGTTGAAAACGGGATGATCACAAATATATTGTGTGCTCTTTATTTTTAATAAATATGATGTGCCTTTGTGTATGTACTAATTATTTTTAATTATAAATTGTCCTTTTTATGATAAATTAAAATTTGCTATAAACACCTTGTATAAGATTAATATTTATAAATAAATGCAAGAGAAAACGCACAAAAACATTATTTCGCGCTTAGAGAAATAAACCTAACACTTATGCTACTCGTATTTAAAAGATAATAGGAATGTTATAGTGTTAAAAAAGAAGGGCTTAAAAATAAATTAATGCTCAGATTCTAACTTTTTATATATATTGATGACTAGCTAACGCTATCCCGTTTAAAACGGGATCAAAATAATGTGTGTTCTTACATTTGTTGTGTATGATGCAGCTTTATGCCTGTACTTATTATTTTATATTACAAATTACCTTTTTTATTATAAATTAAAATTTGCTATAGACGCTTCGTATAAGATTTATATAACTAAATAAAAGCAAGGGAAAATGCACAAAACCCACCGTTTCGTGCTTAGAGAAATAAACCCTAAAATGATGCTTTTCGTTTTTTACAAAAATAATAAGAATTTTCCAAATTTCTAAAAAAGAAGGGTTAAAAAATAAAAAAATGTTCAGATTCAAACTTTTTATATATATTGACTAGCCTACTCTATCCCGTTTGAAACGGTATTATAAATAAATAATAGTCTTATGTTTAATTGTGAAACATGTCTTTAGGCTTGTGCGCATTGTTTAAAGTACAAAGTGTCTTACATTGTAAAGTAAAATTTGCAATAGTCACCATTTAACAATTACAAAAAAATTAAAAAAAATAAAGAAAAATACACAAAATTTCGTAATATCCTTTGGCTAACAACTTTATAAAAATCTCTAGGTTGTAGTTAGTGCTTTTAAATAAAAAATACAAATAATTTTACAAATTTTTTAAAAAGAAGGGTTAAAAAATAAAAAAATGTTCAGATTCAAACTTTTTATATATATAGACTAGCCTGCGCTGTCCCGTTTTAAAACGGGACCTAAAGATTATAATTGTGTTACCTGGCTAAATGTTGTTTAATTGTTTTCCAGGTTCTAATAACTTTTTTTCTTTATTAAAATATTTATTTTATTATTTTTTTACTGCTACATAAGAATTATATGTATAGCTTACTAATTTATTAAATATGATTTTTCAATACTTAATTAAATGTATTATTTCTGTGCATTTTAGAACTGAAAGTTGTTCTAAAAAATACTTCTGTGTATGTAATTTTCTTGTATTTAGAAATCTTAGTTATTAAAGAATTCTTTAGTTTTTAAAATTTTTCATTTATATATACTGCATATTATATGTAGTACATTAAAGATATGACATACCAAGCTTTTATTATAATAACTCTTTGTAGACTATATTGTCAACACAGTTATCCGAATTGGCAGACATTTCAATCTTTAATTGATCTTTACTTCTAACTCTACTTAAAGCAACATACAGTTGACCATGTGTGAACAATGGTTCTGGAAGGTAAATACCAACACGGCCGTATGATTGTCCTTGTGATTTATGTATGGTCATTGCA